GCTGGCTGGGGAATTCTGGGAGTTGAAGTCCACTCATCTTAAAGTGGCCAAGTTTGGACAATACTGATGTAGGATGATAGTTTGACTTTGGTGTTAAGTACCACAGTGACCAAGTCATGCCTGCAAGTAATCACTAGATGTTGCTACAGGCCCTGATAGCTATTTCCCCCATTGCCGACCATTCCCATCCTCCAGCAAGATGCACAAAAGCAAGCAAATGGACAAATGTAAAGACAGACCTCTAGTTGATTTCTTCTGTCTCCAGAGTGACTATTGCCACAGTATTGGCTTCCTTGAAAAAATGCTCTGCTTTCAGTAAAAACAGCTTGCTTGCAAATTCATTCCCTTGAGTCAAATTTATGCAAATACTATTAAGCTTGGTGCTTAATGATAAGCACCAAAATCGCCTTCTGAATCAGCAGAGTCACACCCTGCTGACAATATATTCTAACAATACATCTCTTAGTTCTTAAAACAAAGATGAGAGATTTCTTTCTCCTTTCTGTAATACAATTCTGTTTAGTAATGCACACAACTTTGTGTTGTTTGTATTTTAGTCATAATCCTTTAAATGAAGCATAGTTTACTATGAACAACAGTAGGTGGTGCTAAAAAACCTTGCATATCTTCTTAAAAAGGGGGGGGACATTTTTGCCATGTCTGACAATCACAGCTTCCCCCCCCTCCCCCCATAATGGAAGGATTTTACTTATCTAGTTGGTGTGCTGATAGTGGAACTATGTTTAAATCCATTTGCATTGCTGTATTTAAAGATAAAAAATATATAAAAGGATGGCTTGATTCAAACATATTCTGTAGATATTCCTGTATAAATGAAGGTTCTCTGCTCCCTTCTAAAAAGTAGCTGTATATTGTGTATATCTTGGGTTTGAAATAATAAATATGAACAAATGTGCAGATGATTCTCTTTAGTAGTTTTGCAAGACAGTTGACTTTTTGACTTAGCAAACGAGATGCAGACACATCACTGGGGATGCCTCTTATAAGGTGTATTGACAAAAGCAGTGGACATAGTAATTCTACTTCCACGACTGCAGTTTCAGCTTCTCAAATCATACCTTGCCAGTCTGTGGCAGGGGTGAGAGTGGGAGGGTTGAGCAAGTAGGCAATATTAAATTAAGATCACTACCCATAGTAGAAATTTTGAAGCTAATTTTATATCTTTATTTCCTGTATTGGCAAAAAGGCATAGAGTAGACTGGGGATAGAAAACCCAATGATTGTTTCAAGCTTCTTCTATAATTATAATACTTTATGCTTTTTCAGCAAAAAACAAAACAAAACACCAAACAGGTAAGATTCTTACCTTTCTTCATCCTTGGAAAAATCTTGTGTAGTCAACTAGGTTGAAAGGCTGTGGTTTCAGTCATTGTCCAAAGTTATTCCATATACCCTCTGGTTCTAAACTGAACTTAGTATAGACTTAGTATATGTATGTATATATGTATGTTTGCATTTAAGAATACTGCTGATAATTCACACATCATGCTAAGCCTTAATTTTGTTAATTGGTTTGTTGTCCAACCCACAATTAACTGCATTCACACATCCTGCTAAGCTATAAAACATTATTTCAGATCCCAGGTCTAGGTTCATACAATATGTGAAGGCAAAAGCCAGACCAGGTTATGGCATGAATCCATTAGCCCAAGCCATTCATGTTGCTTCTCTGAAGTCAACAGCAGTCTTAGCAAACGTTACTCAGGGATATTCATTTGTTTAATTTGTTGAGCACTGAAACATATGTGTACTGCATTGCATTGACCATCATTTTGAGAATTTGTGCTTGTAGAGCATGATTGAAGTGCAACTAATAGTTGTAAATAACAAGTAGGGGCACTTTGCTAGAGTTCAACATAATGTCATAATTTTCTTTTAAAAACAGTTGTCTCAAATATCTGGTGGAAGCTGTACAGCACAATACCAGGAAAAGATGGAGCTCTTTTAAATAGTTGCAAACAGGTGCTACATTTCAGCCCTACACATTCTGAAGCACTTTTTTGGAATTTAATCTAAAATCCTGCACACAGCAATAATAAATATGATTCTATGTTATAGGGTTTTGCTCTGCAGAGTGACATCTTCCTATGATTTTAATTAGAAGAAACTTTTTTAAAAAAAGGTAGGCAAGATAGGGAACCTGGTAGGTATCTGGGGTCCATTATGGTATGCAGGCCCCATATCGCCTACCTTCATGCTAAGCATGATTAGACATAACTTAAGCTTCAGAGTACAGGGTGTAACTAAATAGATAATTTCCACCTCAAGCTCCGTGATGAAGAGAGGAAGAGTATGGATTTGTTATGACTGGTACAACTACTAGTCACAAGGTTTTATCATTGTTCTCTACTCACAATGGCTTAGAGAAGGAAGCTAACCTACAGGATTGTTGCCATATTCCATGCTTTCTGCTAACTTTTTGTCCTAGGAACAAAAAGGTTGAAACTTTGGGGAAGTCTGTGAGTCAGGGAGAATGTAATACAGAGTGATTCATGAGTATGGTTCTTCCTTTGCATGTGTCATATCCATCACCAAGTATTGACTATTCCATCCTTTGTGATTTCAAAATTAACTGAGCAGAAAATAAACAATGGTGTAATCTATTTTTGTTCTTGGTCCTGCTCAAAGCCATTCTTATGATTTCAGTTGTAAGAA